AGTGAGTTGTATGAATTGATTGATCTAAAGCACTTAGATCAGTCTCCAGCAGGTAATAAAGTATATAAATATTATTTATTGTCATTAATTATTATTATTTGTTATGTGATAATTAAAGAAATAATACAGATGATTAGCGTTATGGGATTTTAGCATTAAGAGAGCAGGGTAATCAGGGAGGGCTGCCTGGAGGAAGTGAGGTCTGAGTCAGCACTGAAAGGAGGACAGGGACTCTGAGTGAGTTTCCTTTTGACCCTCTAAATTCCGGCCACAGGAACCAGCGGTTTTGTTTGGTTCCGGCCTTGGGGCTTTCTGGTTCCTCCAGAATCTCCCCATCTTTCCCCACCTCCTCCAGGAACTAGATTGCACCCCCTCCCCCATCTCCAAGGGGTCCTATGAGTTTGGCGTTGTGTGTGCGTTTATTTAAGAGTCACAAAAACACAAGGACAGCCCTCTCTTCAAGATGCTAGATCCGTCTTGAGGGACACCACAGAGGTTGTGGGGGACAGTGCTCAAGGGTTTGACTCGGAACCTTGGATCGCAACATTGAGAAGCCCTGGCTGTGTGAGGCATTCCCCATGTGCTCTAGGGCAGCATTAATCATGTTGGTAACAGTGGCAGTCATTACTGTGTAGGAGCTGACACTTATTCACAATTACCCTTCTAAGCACATTGCATGTCAGCTCATTTAACCTTTCCTATGAAGGGGGTGCCATTGTTATCCTCATTGACAGATGAGGAAACTGAGGTAAAGCGAGTTTAAATGAGCTCCTCTGGGTCACATAGACAGCATTGTCAGGATTTGATCCCAGGCTGCCTCACCCCAGAACTCGGGTCTGTTGCCACTTTGTAGACTGCCTCTGGCTTATAAAATCAGGGCTTGGCACATGATTTAAGGCAGCAGAACTGGATTCTAACCTAGGTCTGTGTAACTCTTAACCTCTGCCTGTGTTTCCTCCCATCACTTCCCCTCTGTGACTCCTGTTCTCTTTTCTGCAGAAGGGGCAGAACTGTGGAAAAATGAAAATAGCAGGTTGTCGGTTTCTCCTCCGTGCTCCTTGTTTGTTTGTTCATGGCTTGAGGGTTGAACAGGGCTCTGGAGCCAGGCTGCTGGAGTTCAAATCCTGGCTTTAGCCCCCACTGACTGTGGGTGACCCTGGGCAGATCACTAACTTGCTCTGTGTCTCAGTTTCCTCACTTGTATAATGGACATAATATAGCACCTGTGTCAGAGGGGTATCATGAAGCTTGGATGCGCCTGAGGTTAAAGCTCTTGGAACAGTGCCAGGCACATAGTAGGTGCTCGGAATGCTGTGGTGGAGTTTTTTGGGAAGTACAGCAATGGGGGTGCAGATGAGGTGGTCTCTTTGGGTCTCAAAATCTCCCCCTTTTAGGAGGAGGCTAAGTAAGCCTTGGGCCCACCTTCCTGTTGGTTGGATTGGCTTGGAGACCCTGCCTGCAAGGGGAGAGACCTCAAGGGCAGATGCCCATGGCTCTTATGATGGGTGTGCCATCCAGGCAGTGGTAGGAAGAGAGGGAGAGCCTGGATGCATGGGCAGAGAGACCCCTGGCTGGGGTCCATCAGCAGCTTCCTGAAGGGCTTCCCTTGGCTGAGGACAGAGACTTGTCACTTCCAGACACTCAGAGGGTCTGCCCTGAACTAGCCGGGCTGGGGTCTCTGAGGAACAGGGATTGTGGGCAGAAAGCTCCCAGAATGCTTTCTATGGTTCTGCTTTTTAGGGGGAGGAGACCAAAGTTTTTCTTCTCATTGGAGCTCTGCTTGCCAAAACAAGAAACTGTGGTTTTGTGTTGTCACTGTTTTATTGTTTTTTAAAAAGATTCTAAACTCCTAGTCTCACACTTGGGGGTGGGGAGGAGT